AAATTATTATTGGCAGGTTTGTTTTCATTACGGTCAATTATTATGACTAATGGCACTGTTTGGCTGTTAATGCTCCTATAAATTATTCCCCCTTTAGTCTAATTAATTATTCATTAGCTGCACCTGCGAACGATTGCTGAAAACCTTTGTCATCGATGCTCCGCAGACGCAAATATTGTTTAAACGTTTGGGACGTCGTGCCGTGGCTTAAACAATCAAGATGAGTTTTAGCAAAAAGGTCATTTTAAGAACAGTGACCACTCAAAATATGTCTAGTGCCACACTACGTAACAACAACTCCTACTTTATTTCCATGTACAAAGTTTCAACTACATTATCACGTTCATTAATAACGTCGCCTCGTAACTGTAACTCTAATGCAACATTTTAAGTCCTTAGCAGCATTAATCCTTAAAAACCGCAAGCTTTATGGCCGAGCAAACCTAATAATTATATGTACTCAGTATAAAGGACCGAAAAAAAGAGGGAAACGAGGAGAGAGAGAGAGAGAGAGAGAGATAGAGAGAGAGAGAGTGTGGTTGGTGGCAGGACTGCAGAGCAGACGTCGATACGCCATTAAAGCGCCGCACACAGCCGCCGTTCGCATCCCGTTAACAGTCCTGCAAAACTCGATATGACAAATGTCGCTACCGCGTGGCAAACACAAATAAAAAAAGAAGCGCCGCCACTATCTCCTACGTGAATAACGGACCCTCGGAGGAGCAAACGTCTTTATCGGCTATGTATGGTCAAAGTGGCTCCTCTCGGGGGCTGAATTACGCGCAAACGCCCGTTTCTTTATGGCGAACGGGACTTTATCGAAATTACGAGCGCAAGACGTCGAGATTTTTATCCAAGGCATTATTAACGAAGCCACGATTATTTATCCGATGGGCCTTCTTTTTCTATTTTTGTTTTTGTTTTTTTTTTGTTTTTTTTTGTTTTTTGTTTTTGTTTTGTTTTTGTTTTGCATGCTCGCGGCGACGGCTTCGATTTCCTAGCAATTTTCACTCGGACGAGCGAGGAGAGGCTCGCGAGTCTACTCTCGCCCGTGCACCGATTTATCGGGAGAGGATGCACGGGACTCGTGCTAATACCTTCCAGGCAAATGGTATTTCTAGAATTATTGAGATCGTGCGTTGACACTTGACGGACATGAACGCGAGATAATGGCGTATGAGTGCGCGAAGGCGTAATGAAAGTTGAGGAAAATAATTACGAGCGGCCTAAATAAGATTTAACATAGACTTTGTTTATACTTGCAATTGTCCAAGCAGTTGGAGTTGGGAGAATTTTTTTCATGCGATAGCAGAATGATCGTGGAGTAGGCTCTATAGACAATTATTCAAAATTTTCATTGCTAATCTTTCTGGGTTGAAAAAACTCTTAGAAAAAAAAAGTCTCTCGGTCTCCGGCAATATATTGAGGTGTCGCATCCTCATAAAGCAAATATCGCGAAAATGTGTAGAAAGTTGTTACGTGCCGATCCGATCTCGTTTGTTATGGCTGTCTCGTGCCCATGAGAGGCGTGGCATAATATAGAAATTCTCGTTAATCGGTAGCAGGAAAAATGCTCTGACCAGGAATACTTAGGTGGATAGAGAGAGAGAGAGAGAGAGAGAGAGAGAGAGAGAGAGAGAGAGGGAGAGAGAGAGAAAGGGCAAGGAAATCAACAACGCGACGCTTACTCGATACGAGTGCGTGTAAAAAACTTCAGAAGGCTATACTTTCGAGATAATTTCGGATTCTTAACCGTACGAGGCGTTCGGATTTTTCTATGGGCATTTAATTTTCACTCGGCTATCATCGCTCCAGGCAAATTGCTCCATCCAGCAACAACTATCGGGACGTCAATCACGAAAATATCCAGCGTTCGTGGTCGGCCACGTTATGTCACCGCATCCAGGCGCTATAGGATACGGCCCAAGCCTTTGCAGAATCTTTGAACAGACTTTGGATAAAAGAGGAGTACCCTCGGGTTGCGAAACGCGTGGGTGTGCGAAATGCGCGCAGCGTATGGATCGGTGAGGCGGTGTTTCTAGCTTCCGCGTACGCCCTCGACTAAATTAACCTCAGCGCTCATGACGCGTACGCTCTTGAATTCAAATGATTGCTCCTCCCGATGGCGTCGACTTAATATTCGCCTCCGTTCTTATTACCCGTGAATTTGCACAACACCGAACGTGGATGTAATTCGATCCGAGTCGGATTTTATGTGCGCAAGCGTCACCGAAGCGAGAGCAAATTCGATATCGTGGATACGAAAGTGGCTACCCTGCGCGTTAGATCGTTATTCTCGAGTCGTTTTTTATAGACTTTGGGAATGCGCGATTCGGAAGAAAAAAAATAGTTTCTTTTCTTGTTTAAAGTCGCTCGTAATCTAGGGAGGTAGACGGCATATTTTTCACACGTACCCGTCGGCATTTTAGTCACACGTACGTGAGAATTTATGTAAACGGGAGCAAGAATATGAGCGAGAAAGAATGCTTTCTCTAGGATTCTTCGATTCCATAAGCGTGTAATGTAACGATCGATCCCGTTAGTCTGCATAATTTGGCTACGCACGCGTTAATATTAGTTGTACAAATTGCTTCGATATTGCATCCTCGTTTATTCAGTACGAGAGAAGAAGTAATGTTCGTTTGTGATAAGATGGTGATTAGCCGAGTCTGCCTATTTGTGTGCATTTCTGCACGATATTTGGCACGAAAAGGGAAATACTCGAAGGCGCGGCTTTTGCGCGGATTATTAATTCGAATTTCACGTGTCGGCGACACTATTACAAACAAAATCAGCATTATATCCGTAGCGCGTACGTATTGTTTGTATGAATGTATTGTGAGTTGAGAGAGTAGTAGCCGGTAGAGTTCGCATCTACGCGACTCTAAAATAAATGATAGATAGATGTAAGGATAGATAGAATAGTTGGAGAGAGAGAGAGAGAGAGAGGGAGAGAGAGAGAGAGAGACGAAAGAGGCGAAAGAGGTAAAGAGACACGGTGGTGGGTGACGCGGCGGGATTTCAGCTGGAAAGCGTTGGTGGGCCGATGGGGATCGCGCGCGCGCGCGCAAAGCGCCTAATCATGTTCCGCGGCGCGCATTTTCGCGCGCTCTCAAGATGAGAAATGGAGATTGTCGCGCGGCGTTGGGCCCGACGTGCCTCGGGAGCGAGAAGAGTTCCTGGCATTGTAACTGCGAGACCTACGTGCTTGGGACGGTGCCGTACGCGATAGCCGTACATCGGGCCCCGAGTGCGGCCCCATCGCCAAGACTCGATTCTGTATCTTGAGGAGCAGCGACCAAGCCGAGTGGTGGAGAGTGGAGCGTCGGGGCAAAGGGCGGGTAGGGAGATCGGTGTTTGGTAAAGGAAAGGGGACTTTTTTCACTCTTTGCGTTAGTGCCATCGGTTATTTACGATTAGATTATGGATAGCATGAATTAGCGGGAAATTATACAGGGCGTTTGGCTCAATAGTATAACCAGTGGATGTAGGTGATCTCGATATGATGGTAAGGAGCGGATGAAATGTAGGATGAGGGTTAAGGGGGATAGGGGGAGAGGGGGATTTGGCGTGACGGTATGAAAATCGGAAAATCGTGATCGAAGGTGTGGGGGCTTGAATAAGAGCGGAGCGACGAAGGAGGAGAAGCCTGCGATTAAGGAGGGATACGAGTAAGAGGAACGATAGCTTTGAGAAGAAAATCATTCACTTAGTATTATTGGGTAATAAGTATGTAATCGAAGCAGTTTTAATCAATATCGGAGCTTACCGGCAAGCTTGAGAAATGGAAGTGCCCGGGTAGAGTAACTCATGGTAGAAATTTAATGAAATGAGCATTTTGAATAATCACTTTATCAAGGATTTACGGCTTTAGCAGGCAGGAATTGGAATCATCCTGCCTCCTATTACTTAATATAAAGATCGCATGTACAACAATATAAATAGGTTCGAAAGTAAAAAACTTGGGAAGATATTTGGGACAAAAAAAAAAAGTGGAAGAGCAGGAAAGAGGACGAGGGAAGAAAGTGGGTAATTCAGAAAATTACATAATCACGAGTCGGGAGAATTCTCTCGGCTACAAGCTATATTGCAAGAATTATTAAATCGGGTAAATTGAAATGGGCGGAGTATTCACGTTGGATAAAAAGTAGAAGATAGGCGTCTAGAACTTGAGTAGGAAAATCGATAAGTAAAAAAATATTAACCCAGAGTCGGACGAAGATGAGAGAGAGAGAGAGAGAGAGAGAGAGAGAGAGA